GATTTGGCTATATACTTGAAAAAAAATTGCAAGGCTATGGTGAAAGAGTGGGGGGAGTGGGACTAATTGGATAGCTCTTTCAAAGAGTTGGCACAGGCACGATGGGCCGAATGGCTTCCTTATGTGCTGTAGGATTCTATGATATAGTGCCATTCACATTGGATAATGTCTTGGAGCGCTGTAAATGAATTTTACACTTGAGTCCATCAAACGTAGAGGGGGAGAAAAGGAACATTCCACTCACCGATCGTACAGCTGCTACAGGTTGTAAAGTAAATTGAATTTTAATCCCAGTAGACTAAACTCTGCCGAATAAAACTACTTCAACTTTAGGGCCTGAATGACAAGTTTAGTATTGCGCTTTCTGAGGCTGTGGCAACACTGACAAGGAAATAGATGGTAAGCTCAACATGGTTTGTAGCTCATCTCAGTCTATCACTAAATCTAAACTGTGGAGAGAGTTGCTTAGCTCACAAGCAAGAAAGATGGCATTGGACCATTCACTATGAGATCATTTGACATACCATTCACTGTGCCAAGGTACACATCGTTTATAGTCTCCCTTTCAAACGACCATATAAAACACTTTCTCTCTGACATCCTGTTCATTGGAACATGATTTTTCTTCCACTGCTATTTTTTCTCCTACAAATATTCTCTTCCCCTCCTGTCATAAAAACATTCAACTCCTATTTTCCTCCTACCGTGGTACAATTACACAGGTATCACTCGCTTTTTAATACCTTAACTAAATGGCTATTATTTACCTTTGAAATAGATTACCTTTAACCACTGTGCCTCTTCATATTAGAAATAAAGGCAAAGAATAAAAGATTGGAAATAAGTGCTGGAAATTTATAGCAAATCCAGTGTCATCCTTAAATATCATCAGATTTGCGAACTGTGTGACTGAACTATTACATTATTAATGGGGTGTGGGCTAAGTTATGTAAAATAAGAGGTACATGTATGATGAATATTCCACACATCTGACGATTTTTCATCAATGATTTTGCTACAATATTTTGATCACTCCAAGGAACCTAGATAAGTGGAGATTGAACTGGAATTTCAGAAGGAAGGCAGACAAAAAAAAATCTAGACACCCAGCAACAGATATAAAAGAGGAAAGAAGATAATTGGATTGGCTCAGACTCTACAAGAACAATCCGGGGGATCAGAATCAGAGAATGAGGCACATGCAGATGAGTAGATTCATGCTTTGGGTCAATAAGTAAGAAGCTAAGAAATCTGCAATGAACAAGAATTAATTTTAAGATCAGGGAAGCAAGCTCTCGTGCATTGCTAAACAGTCTAACCTAAGTGATTCAGGAAGTCAGAATTTACCAATACAAACATTTGCTAAATGTTTATTGGTGAATTTATCTGGCAGTGTATGATTTGTTCTTATATTTAAATTATACGAGAAGTACGATAAATAAGAGGTGTCCGTTCAGCCAAAAGAGGAGCAAGATTTACTTATCAGTTTCTGATAAATCCAGTCATTGGAGAGGAGTTGGGGAATTAGCTGAATGAAGGTGGAAGCAGATCATAGACCATTTATCTATATTGGAAATTGAAGAGGAAACAGTAGAATAACAGATACACAAAACGTTAGAGGTCAATACGCAAAGACAAATTTGCCAGTTACATCGTCTCACCAGACACTCAGAAATAACAAGAGAATTGGGCGAAAAATTTATTTTATTCATGTAACAGTGAATAAGTTAATGTAATGCTCCAGGGATGGTAATCCTAACCAATATTGTGGAGTCCTGTAGCTCAGTGGTTAGAGCACTCGCTTTGCAAGTGAGAGACCTGAGTTCAATCCCAGGCAGAGGGCGAAACCTTGGGCAAGTTTCCTTACTCCACACAGAGCCTAATAATAATCCCTCCAAAACCAAAAGCAATAATTAAATTGGTCATTTTCAATCTACGACTGTTTGTGGGACATTGCTGTGCGCAATTGGCTGCCGCGTTCGCCCACAAATATACAGTCAATTCACTTTACAGTGTGTTCTGTGAAGCGCTTTGGGACGTCCTCCCGACGTGAAAAGCGCTATATCAAATGCAAGGATTATTATTATTATTATTAATACATACTGTTTGGTTCCTTAATTCTAAGAAGACAGGAATGTCCCCATTTTTATGCTTGTCTTCAGAACTCAGCGTATTAGGAGTTCCTGGTGACTTACGACATGCTGGTAGAGGAATTAAAACACACGCAGTCGATCGTATAATAATCTTTGCTTTTGATATGCCACCTTTTATGTAGGGAGGAGGTCTCAACGTGTTTCACAGGATTTATTGTGAAACGTAGTGAACATATTGTATATCAACTAAAACAAGCTACTTTGTTTTGGATTTATGCAAGCTTCTTTTGTGCAATATATTAAGTTCAACTCTGTATCCCTTCAATAATTCAGAGCTCAATGTTCCTGAAGCATTCAGGACTTGAACTCACATAGTCTTAAGCTGACGCTCCAAGGCAGTGGTTAGAGCACTCGCTTTGCAAGCGAGAGACCTGAGTTCAATTCCAGGCAGAGGGCGAAACCTTGGGCAAGTTTCCTTACTCCATACACCTAATAATAATCCCTCCAAAACCAAAAACAATAATAAATTGGTCATTTTCAATCTACGACTGTTTGTGGGACATTGCTGTGCGCAATTGGCTGCCGCGTTCGCCCACAAACATACAGTCAATTCACTTTACAGTGTGTTCTGTGAAGCGCTTTGGGACGTCCTCCCGACGTGAAAAGCGCTATATCAAATGCAAGGATTAATTAAAGGCAGGGCTGGGGGTGTGTTGCATTCTTGGAGGTGCCGTCCTTCGGATGAGATGTTAAACCGAGGTCCCATCTGCCTGTTCAGATGGACGTTAAATATCCCAGGGCACTATTCAAAAAGAGAACGGAATTTCTCCTGATATTTTTCCGTCAATAAATCCCCGAAATAAAATTGGTCACTCACTCCAAGTGTTTGTGGGATGTTGCTGTGCACGCATTCGTCTACAAAATACATAATCAAAACCACTAAATCTTGTGAGACGCTTTGAGACATCTCAACGTTGTGATAAAGTGCCATTGCAAATGCAAGGATTATTACAGTGCTTGGGACTGAAACCACCAACAACAGCTGTTGAGCCTGTTTCTCTCAGAATTCCACCTTAACGCAATATTTAGACACGTACACTCAACTTGCTGAGATGATGGAACAGAAGCAATAAAAGATTTCGGAAATGACCTCAACAAATAAAAGGATTCCGGGTTTCAAGATGGATTTATTGAAGGAATCTTTTGGGAAGCTGGATCGGGAAGTTAGATGGACCAAATTTAACTTTGACCAGCGAAAGGTTTGAAGACATCAATATCAACTTAAGTTCGGTCCTGCCTGAAACAATTACTGTTGTACATTACTATTCATTGAAGATTTATTTCCATACCGATATGAAAGAATTTAAAATATTCTGATTGTTTTGGAGATGCAGAAGAAACAATCTCAATTTTTCACGTGTCATTGGTTGCCAGTCATGTAAATTTCTGCACAGAATCCACCTTAGAGCTGGGTAAAATGATTGGTATTTTAATAGAAGGATGCCCTAGCTACCGTTCAAGTTCAACTGTAAAGATTACCAGTTCTTATTCCTGAGGCTGCTGTCAGCAATATGATAATTGTACTGAGATTAAAGAAGAAAAACTGTCAATGCTGGAATCAATGCTGGAAATCTGCAATAAGAATAGCAAATGCTGTAGAGGCACAACAGGCCTATGTTGAACATCTGAAAAAGAAAAAAATTTGATGTTTCAGGTGTAACCCATTGTAAATGCTTGCCAGACAGCAATATCAATGGGAAGCTATGCAGATTTAGCTGGTTAGACTCCAGCAGTTACCCCAACGCACACTCTGGGTTCCCCAAGCCTTGGCTCGTGCCAACCTGCACCTAATACTTTCTGGAATTGGGTAAGCAGGAAGCATCCCTCCAGGGAGAGAGAGAGTGCGCATTCCATTCCAACAATCTCTCTGTGGATTTCCATGTGTAGGTGGGATGCAGGGAACTCTCAGATTGGTTTGGATACTCTTAAGCAATGGTGATGGGTTTCCGTATGTGTCAGAAACCCGACTGACCAAACAAACACATTGTAAGAAAAATGGAACATTTGTGCTGGAAACGTCCCTGTTTATAGGACTGAGGAGGGCAAGTTAGGACCAGACCAAGGAAGCAGAAGTCAAGCATTTAAAACTACTCTCTAACCACGTACAAAAGAGGCAGATAATCATTAGCAGTTTATGAAGAATGAGGGTTTTAAGCACTGTACCTGGCAGTTAGTTTCAGAGCGTGTCATCTGCAGGCATCAGGATAAGTGAGATATATGGGAAAAGTGAGATAGGAGAAAGAAAGAATGTCTCTAGTACATTACAAAGACTAAGCTAGTGGGTGATGTGTGAAAAAGAAAGATAAGAATAATCCGAGCATTTGAAATAACACCTTTTGACTTGAAACATCTCAAAGCGCTTCACCCAAAGGATTTGTTATGTGTAGGTGAACAGATGAGATTTGAAGTATTAATATCGACGTTGAAACCCAGTGATCAGAAGCACACCCGAGAATAAAGTGGGATTAGTGCTGCTCAAGTTTGCGTTGAGTTTGAGTTTGAGTTTGGTGGTGAGATGGGGAGTTTAGTGGCGAGCCACATGTAGGCCAGGGTCATCATGTTCATGGACAGAATAAACATGTTCAATTTCACAGCACATTTACTGCACATAATCCAGAAATAGGAAGGCAAATCCCCTCATTTGAGCATACCACGTTGCAGTGCATTGCTACCAATGTTAGCCCTCGTCCTCTCACTTGCCTCAAGAGAAGAATCCATAGCATTCCCTGGTGAGACGGTCAAATTGTTGCAGAGATCCACGTACTAAGGAAAGGAACAATGGAAGATGTAGTAGTTAACATTTTCAGTCCATTTATTCAGAGCAATCAAAACTGTTTTGTTTTACAGACTGGATCGAGTGATGGGTACAGCAGTTTTCACACAAGCCCAACCTTCACGAGATCGTCCAAGCCTGTGGTTTTGTGGACCCAGCAAGATGTTTGCAAATGGCTGAAGAAACATTGTCCACACAATTACCTGACCTTTGTGGAGGCTTTCTCACACCATGCTATAACAGGTAACAGGCCTTAGTAGTGGTGCTTAATCAGGGATCACTATGGATGACAATCAAATTGGTTATCACCAGAGCCCCATCTACAAAAAATTAAGACTTTTTGCTAATTTATATACTCGGCATCTTATTGTGAGGTATTCTACAATTTGACCACTGCTTTAAGCCTATCTGTTAGTTCAAGATTTCAAAATCTTGTATGTTAAAAAGGTCATATAATTGCCTCTGTATTGGACGTTGAGCAGTTAAACCCGTAGATCTCTTCCTGATTTTCTTTCCTCCCTGTTTCAAGATTTAAAACTAAATTTTTCATTAACTACCTAACATTCTCAACTCACAGTGAGAGATCAATGCTTGTCTTTAATTTTTAATGAGTCTTCTCAAAGGATGCTCATTTATACGGCTGTTGGGTGTGTGGCTGTGTATGTAGGGAAACCAATTCCTGCTAATATTGTTGTGTAAAAATATTGACTCAGACAGAACGTGAGGTTTTATGGAGAGACCATCGACAGAGTGGAGATCATCCGATTTAAATATAGTGCAATTTAGATCAGTCGGTTGTTAGGTTTGAATTATTTATATTCTTTTGTGTTGCTTTTGTGTAACATTTGCCAACCTGTGACTGATGCTTTCTGGAATTAGTTAAGCAGGGGAGTGCACTCATTCCAGTCCAAGGGAAATTTCCTTGTGTAGGTAGCATACAGATGTGAAACTCTCAGATACTCTTAAGCATAGCGATGGTATACATATATGTGTTTTAGAAGTATGTCAATCAAAGATAGATGATTCCTGATCCTTTTAGCTCAGTGTCAGCCCCACAGTACATACACACAAATGCGTCTGAGAAGCCTAAAAAGCTTGAATTATCTTTTCTTTGTTGTGGTCATCCGAAAACCCTTTCATGTTCCTACTGGCAAGTGTAAATGATCTTTTGTATCAGTGTACACTTGAGATAGAGCTGCAATGTGATTTTACACTGCACACAAGACAAGTAACTGTATTTGAGGCTTTTCATTAATTATATATGTGATATCATGCTCGCCAATGTTCTAGCAGCTGTCAAGGAAGTAGTTGTAAAAAAAATCTATTAAATGGTGCCGAAGAAAATCATTCTGAGACTTTTACAAAGTAATAAAGAGTGGTTTACCAGGTGGCAATGAATCAAGACGCTGTGGTAACAGTTTCCACACAGTGAAAGCATTTCAAAGGCTTTTTATCAAAAAAGGTACAAAGGGCAACGTTCACAGGAGGATTTTAGAATTTTTTATGTACTTTGTGCTTTTCTCCCAAACGATGACATGCTCATCAGAAAAAAAGACTTAATCTGTTCACTTTACAGCCATATATGTGACTAATACCCTTTTGAGTGTCACAAATCCTATAGAATGTATTATAGCAGACACAGCAATAAAAGTTCAGTAATGCACTTTATAGCTCACTCTCTCTGTACCCCTTTCAGTAATCGATTGTGTTCGGTTGTTAACTCCAGGGAGGCAATTGGTTTTCTAAAAGCATGGAGTGATCCATTTGGTGTATTCCCAGGCTTAGATCAGGAATGCTGCATAAGCATGGTCCTAGAGCAAGCGATTCTTAAGTAAGTTATATATGGAGGATGCAAATTGAACACTTGGCTCTGGTTGAATCTGGTTGCTGGATTAAAAAATGTAATCTCCCAAATAATGAGAAATTTGCATCAACAAGAGTCGAGAGTTGTCAGTGTAAGTAAGTCATTGCAAGGACATGTTCAGTCATTTTGGAGGAAATTGAATTGAATTGATTCCAGCTCGCCTTTGCTAGATTAAAATGCTCCAAGGCAAGGACAGTATGTTTCAGTGAATAAGTAACTAATGAAACACAACAGAACACTCGCTCATCATGTCAGAGCTATTATCCACGATGTCTTAATGGTTTTATCCACTTATTGAGCAATTACTTCATTTGGGTTTGTAAATATAGTAATTTCTTGTGTGCAATAGAGAGCTGATTGGTTTTTACACAATTCCCACAGTTCCTGCCATGCTTAATAGATTATAAAACTAGCCAAACTAATTTCAGTGAGCACATAAACATTTCTACTCTGCAGTAATAAGATCTCTCTTCCTTAATTTCTCTTATATGGCAAGAAATGGTTATTGTTAAGAAAGGGCGGTTCCTGTTGTGTGCACAATTCTGTAGGTTTGCAAATGCCACTTGTAAGCTTTCAGTCTGTCCTCAGGGCGAGCACTGCTGAGGCTCAATGGTGAAAAGCTGGAGCGGATGGGCATAATCCAGGAAGGTCAAAGGCAGGAGGTGCTTCAACAAGTTCTTCAGCTGCAAGTACGAGAAGAAGTGAAGAACCTACAACTACTTAGACAAGGTAAAGCTGTGCCAATTGGCTGTCACATTTCACTCACAAAATATACAGTCAATAGACTTTAGAGTATATCTGTGAAGCGCTTTGAGACGTCTCGACGAAGTGATTGGGTGCTCTATCAAATGCAAGGATTATTATTATGGTACATCATGATCGTCTTTATATTCCCATATTCACACTCAATTGTATGTTGAGGGTCGTGGACAGACTGCCTGCCTTGAGTTAATTTCTCCAGGAAAGCAACTTGCAACCCTGGTGCATAAATACCAGGGTCCACCTCTGGCTGATTCAGTGGACTGTAACAAATATCACATGGTCAGCAAATTTGACCCCAGTGTGGCTTGAAGTTGTTTCACAAGAGGATGTACTACACCGAGCTGACCAACAGGCCTAAGAGTTCAATCGCTTCATTTTATAAGGCTGACAGTTGCACTGACTTGATACATAAATCATAGCTAAGAATGAAAGCTCTCAGAAGACCATTGAGCTAGCAAGTCTGGTTGTTCATTTTCCTGAAAGGTTACAGAAACCAGTTTTACTTAGAATGTCTGAGGAATCAGTTTGATGAAGGACCAGTTTGCTGAAACTCCTGCTTAAGACTTTCACATGCATTTTCCAAGGCTGAATCTGTCTGTGTGTCTATTCCAATTATATTTAAATATCTATCTATATATATATTTACTGGAATGCTGTGAGAACCTCTGTTAGTCATTGTGCCTCCAATTTCTGGAACTCTCTGCTTCTATTCCTCTACCTCTTCCCCTCTCTTGTATACCTTAAAACCTACCTCTCCGACTGTATCTATAGCCAGTTCCAAACCCCTTTCTTGCCGCCTTACCACTGGGAAGCAAACCTGAGACATTATCCTATGTGTAGGAGATGATATAACTGCAAGTTGTTGCAGTTATCCTTCCCTTTAGTAAAATACTGTCGATGCACCAAAGGTTGAATAGCTTGGGCATAGCCTTGCAGATGAAAAAAGACCATTGGTTAATATATTGGAATGCTGCAGGCCCCTGGGAGCACACAGCCCAGCTTGAAATGGTATCTTCAGTAGAGTAAGGAGAAAACTGGAAGAAAGAAAAATTTAAATATTCAGCAGGCGGATGATTAGTTTACCTTTGTGGACGGACGCACTGCAGTGTTCCATGCGCTCACTCGCCCTTCAGCCAAATCATGCAATAATCGAACAAGTACAAAAGCGAATGAAGTGGTAATTTGTGCCCTATCATTGTCAGTTTTTACAGGTTTATTCAGTCTTTTTTTCTTTTCTTTCTTTCAGCTTCATATGAAACCGGCTCCTAGCTGACGCCTGCTTTGGCAGCTTCCAGTGACACACTGGACCTTCAGTTCCATTGGGATGAATCTGTGGGACATAGATACGGGACTGTGGAGAATCGTGCAGTGAATTAAATAGGACCTCACTGCAGCAGGGAAACTCGACTCTAAGCTGATTTACAATTCACAAAACGTTATTTTAATTTGCTTAAACAGGATCGGCTTTCGGACAAAAGAAGAAACACCTAAAATTTGACTTTCAGAGTTTAGTAGATTAAACACAAAAAGCAAGGGAGGTAGGTACTTATTATGGTAGCAATGACTGGTGCTAAAATTTAGTGTTTTGCTCTATTTTAACTGGCACCTACTGTTACAAGTCAGCGGTTGTCCTGCTGTTATTAGGCTGTTGTACCACTGAACGATGTAGGGAATTAATTACGGACATTGTAGTACATGGAAGCAAAAGTGGTTGTGACATGTATGGTTAAATCCTTTAGGTCCCTTTCATGATTCCTATTAATTTACAATGTTACATGATTTACTTCGATTTTTCCACCTCGTCTTTAACTTTTAGTGGTACAATTTCTTAAGCGGGGGAAAGGAATCCCTGGTGAAAAGACTTAGAGAGGGCTACTCTTCTATAAAGAAATCTTTTTTGCTGCAGCATTTCACTAGGCGAAGGAATTAACTCCCTGAGCGTTGCTGACAATTTGATGAAACCAGAAATGGCCAGGTTCAAACCAGACTACAGTGAAATGATCAGCTCAACGTGAAATCAATGCATTCTTGACATTGATGTGAAACGTGAAGTCTCCAATCCAAAGAACAAACTGCATTATTCACTGCTTTTTTTTTCTGGTTGTGAACCTGACCTGCATATTTATCAAAGCGTTTGTGATACCGAGACATTTTTTTTTTCCTCCCGCTGTGGCTTCATGTGAATCGAGGCTTTATCAAGTGTAATTAAATGATTCAGAGAAAAATAAGCACTTTATGACTAGACATACTACTTCCCATTGATCTGTGAAGCATATTCCACTGGGCTAAATAATGGAAAATTTACACTTCGATTTTAACTGAGAGCCAACGGGAATTTCATTGTGCCAGGGTTATTTCATTATTTCATGGGTGTTATTTCATTGCGTTTCCCTGAAAGTGAATTCGGACTTTGGAATATTTTACTATAAACAGTTTTAAGATTTTAACTGTACGAGAAGAACTGGTGCAGACTTGATGGCCAAATGGCCTCCTTCTGCCCTATATATTTGTATGATTGTAAGAAGTTTGGTCCTTGTGCATTCACATAATTCTACAGCTTGACGAATATTCGAGTAATTGCTCAATACATTTTGCGGCAGAAAACAAATCACCCAGGATGGAAACAATCTTTCGTATTTGAAGTATAAATTCCTGCCCTTAAATATAAATCCCCCACACCCAGTTCTGAGTAGTGCAATAGTCGTACTGAGCAGATTTGCTCTTGTGATTGAAATGTTACCATTAGATTGAAGGTCTCGATTTTTATTGACGGACTATCACAATGGGTAATTGGTAAGATGTGTGTGTGTGTGTATATATATATACATACATATATATATTTCTTGTGTAGTAGCTTAATCAATCCTACAGCTTGATACTGCACAAGGAAAGTCAATGTGGGAAATTACTAACCTGGAGTCCTGGTAAATATTTAATGGTATTGAAACAAAGCTACTGCATGCAGCAGAAGATTGCTTAATAGTGAGTATTTCATAGCAACAGCTGACTCTAACTGCATCACACAACATTGTTGGTTAAGAGAATGTCACCAAAAAAAGCTTTACATCAGCTGGACATTTGCCAATGTGAGCAAACGACAATCTGTACATTGTCACCAATCAGCATCGATTTTTATAAGGACGCCTGGTGTGAAAAATGAAAATAAAATATATTTCAGTATGGTTGCTTTTCTGGGAGTAGAGAGAGAAGGGAACTTTATTTTGAGGCTAGCTGTGTTGTACATGATCTGAAACGTTTAATGCTGACACGTTGGCCGCAACAAAAAAAATGTCGATGATAGAAATACTTTGCACTGTATTGGCGTCAACCATGAACCCTTTTTCGGCCCACAAGAAATTCATACCTATTAAATGGCAGAGACTGTTAAGCAAAACTAGTCAGGTCATCAACAATGCATGCTGCTTTGTAATTTATGGAGTCAGGTCACTTATTAGAAGTTTTCATGATCAATACGTTTCTTGCTCCATATTCGATTACAGATTGCAATGGCAAATCATGAAACAATTGGACGTGCGGCTCTCTAAATATTTCTGACCCTTTTAGAAACATTCAGCATCGATTTTTGTATGCGTTCCACCGCCACAAAAGTAGTTTTGGAATCAAATCAATGCTATCAAATGCAGATTGACACCAGAAAATTTCAGGGCAAAACCTTTGCTGACTCTATGAAGCAGAACAATAATGTTCTATCTCGTTCCTGGAAAGAGAGTTTTAAAGCAGATAATGTAAATCTGCTTTCCTGTCCCAAATCACTGTTCTACTGGAACCAATATTCAAGTGCTTTAATCTTACAAGTGCTATATTTCTTTTCAGCTGTAGCACATGATCTGAATTTGATTATGTAACGCTCTCAAAGAGCAATGATGCTTAACATTACAATAATATTATCAATGGAATGTAAATCTGGCTAAATCATTTAATTTAGAGGAACATAGTATTTAAATAGCTTAATGATAGTTTTCTGCAAAGTGACAATTTATAGAGAGTTACATAATGTCTGGTTCTGTTTTTGTACTTGCCCTCTAAGGGAATGCATGGTTTTAAACAAAAGTCAACAAGGAAATGCCTCATTGATCTGCCACTGAGAGTGATGGAGTTTTGCATTATTTCTTATTTTCATTGATAGAAAGGAAAGAATTGAGTATACAGTATATAGTAGGTCAATCAATATGTGTAAGCACAATAAATCTACAGACTTTTTAATTCTTTTTAACCAATTTTGCACTTTTTTGATGAGCCTTAGTCGAATTATTAAGTTGTGTATAAACTTTGATTAACAAAAGGTATTCTAAATCCTTTTGAACATGCAGCAGCTAAAAATTCCCACACTGTGTATTAGATCATTTTCCATTGACTAATGTATAAGCATTGGGGGTCTAAAAAAGCAACATTTGCAAAATGGGTAGAGTAATTCACCTCATCAATCCGGTTTGCTAGTATTGCATTGTTAGACTACGATTCTAGAAGAATGCATTTACTCTGCATTATCAGTACAGTGTTGTCATTGATTTTACAATCATTATTGTAAACTAAATACAGAATGCCTTTTAAATGTTCTTTCCAGTCTTATTTCTCATCAGAAATATGTTGTGAAATGATATACAGTACCTATTGTGTGTATTGTATGTTTGTTGCTGCGATATAGAATGTGCATAAAATATCAATGTATCAGTCTGATGAAATAGATTTGTGCTTTAACCTAGCCTGTAGATTTGTAATAGCTTTTGAGTTTACGTTAACCCTTTTAGTTCTGAATTTACATTGCACGTCTAAAATAAACATGGTCAGAATTTCATTTGTGTAGTTAATATAAGCATCATGTTATGTTGAAATACAGTAATTCAATATACATGATGGTATTTAATTTGTTCCCTCTAAGCAAACTTTGCTTTATTTAATGCAGAGAGAGCTACTGATGGATGGCTATGTTTTTTTGTGCCACAATTTCAAACTGAACCATCGCTTACTGCTACCCAAACATAAACTAAATTGTGGCAGAATTTATGTGAGGTCGTGATGGGTTCCTATATTCTCAAAAGTCTTACTGGGTGTATGTCCTCATTAATCCCCATGTGTCTTTCTGGCCATTCTTCCAAATAATTCAGCACAGTAAAAAAAATAGTAGCAATGAAGCAAAGCACATTTAAATATTCATTTTGTCACACATTATTCCTCGTTATACCACGGAATTAATGGAGCTTTTACGGCCACGACACCACACATGAAAGTGTTAACTTTGATGCTCGTATAAATGAAGTTGTGTCCTATGTTTACTTCATAAGAGTCAGAAAAATCAGCTTCTGTGAACTTTATTGCTCAATAAATCCGAGTTAATGAAATGCACCACATTTTGAAATATTTTATTTGAAGTATGCTTTTAATAAACTGAAATACCCATTTATACATAAATGTGATCAATGTTACATACAGTGTTACCCTCAGATTTGCATTGCTTTGACAATTTCACTTGCCATTAAGTAGAGCTGGTTTTGTGAACTGAGAAGCTATGATGGTGAAGGGAAAGCTCTGCGGGCAGATTGTCAAGATGATCGAGGAGGTACGAATGTACGTAGGAGCATGGCTTGAGTTCCGCTGATATTTTGTTTGCTGAGGATGAAAGTTTGCTAGAAGGCTTGAAAAATAATCCTTGCAACTGATATAGCGCCTTATTACATCTTTACGACGTCTCAAAGCGCTTCACAGAATATGCTGTGAAGTGAATTACCTGTATATTTGTGAGTGAAACGTGGCAGTCAATTGAGCACAGCAGCGTCCCACAAACAGTCGTGGACTGAGTGACCAAATTATTATTTTTTTTAAAAAAGATTATTATCCCCGGAAAAGCGATCCGCCAATCGACTAACAACCGGGTTCCTACTTATTGATAGGTAAACAGAGAGGTGTGAAGTAAGGAAACTTGCCCAACATTCCCTGCCCAGAATAGAACTCAGGTCTCTCGCTTGCGAGGCGAGTGCTCTAACCACTGAGCTACAGGACTCCACATACTTATGAATGCCCACATTCACGTCTCCAAGCATATCTACACGTGTCTACACGTGTGCAGATCTGATTATCTGTACGGACCAAAGCTATTCGATCTGCACTTAGATGTACAATGAACGTGGGGAAAAGTCTGTCTTTGGTTCTATTTGTCCAATTATTAATGCTAAAATAAATACCAAATGGAAATACATATTCACTATAATTTTAAAGGGTTGCATTTTTACAAAAAAATTTGAATTATTGTG